CCCACACCCACTTTCCTGTAACCACAAACTTCTGAACACTGTAACACTACATTTTTAAACCTACCCCATACCTCTTCGACCCCATTGCCTATGCTCTCATTAGCCCATCTATCCTCCAATAGCTGTTTATATCTTACCCTAACTGCCTCCTCTTTTAGTTTATAAACCTTCACCTCTCTCTTCCCTGATGCTTCTATTCTCCTTGTATCCCATCTACCTTTTACTCTCAGTGTAGCTACAACTAGAAAGTGATCTGATATATCTGTGGCCCCTCTATAAACATGTACATCCTGAAGTCGACTCAACAGTCTTTTATCTACCAATACATAATCCAACAAACTACTGTCATTTTGCCCTACATCATATCTTGTATACTTATTTATCCTCTTTTCTTAAAATATGTATTACCTATAACTAAACCCCTTTCTATACAAAGTTCAATCAAAGGGCTCCCATTATCATTTACACCTGGCACCCCAAACTTACCTACCACACCATCTCTAAAAGTTTCTCCTACTTTAGCATTCAGGTCCCTTACCACAATTACTCTCTCACTTGGTTCAAAGGCTCCTATACATTCACTTAACATCTCCCAAAATCTCTCTCTCTCCTCTGCATTCCTCTCTTCTCCAGGTGCAACACGCTTATTAAGACCCACTTCTCGCATCCAACTTTACTTTAATCCACATAATTCTTGAATTTACACATTCATATTCTCTTTTCTCCTTCCATAACTGATCATTCAACATTACTGCTACCCCTTCCTTTGCTCTAACTCTCTCAGATACTCCAGATTTAATCCCATTTATTTCCCTCCACCGAAACTCCCCTACCCCCTTCAGCTTTGTTTCGCTTAGGGCCAGGACATACAACTTCTTTTCATTCATAACATCAGCAATCATCTGTTTCTTGTCATCCGCACTACATCCACGCACATTCAAGCATCCCAGTTTTCTAAAGTTTTTCTTCTCTTTTTTAGTAAATGTCGACAGGAGAAGGGGTTACTAGCCCATTGCTCCCAGCATTTTAGTCGCCTCATATGACACGCATGGCTTACGGAAGAAAGATTCTTTTCCACTTCCCCATGGACAATAGAAGAAATAAAGAAGAACAAGAGCTATTTAGAAAAAGGAGAAAAACCTAGACGTATGTATATATATATATGCATGTGCGTGTCTGTGAACTGTGACCAAAGCGTAAGTAGGAGTAGCAAGATATCCCTGTTATCTAGCGTGTTTATAAGAGAAAAAGAAACCAGCAATCCTACCATCATGCAAAACAGTTACAGGTTTCTGTTTCACAATCATCTGGCAGGACGGTAGTACTTCCCTGGGTGGTTGCTGTTTACCAACCTACTTATAATTGTCAATAATTGCCGAGGCAGTTCGTAGCCACCTTGAAAAGCATAAATTAATCAACGAATCTCAGCATGGTTTTACAAAGGGGCGTTCCTGCCTTACGAATTTATTAACTTTTTTCACTAAGGTATTTGAGGGGTAGATCATGGTAATGAATATATTGTGTATATGGACTTCAGTAAGGCTTTTGACAGGGTCCCACATCAGAGACTATTGAGGAAAATTAAGGCACATGGAATAGGAGGAGAAATTTTTTCCCGGAGAGGCATGGTTGACAAATAGGCAGCAGAGAGTTTGCATAAATGGGGAGAAATCAGAGTGGGGAAGCGTCACGAGCAGTGTTCCACAGGGGTCAGTGTTGGGCCCCCTGCTGTTCACAATCTACATAAACGACATAGATGAGGGCATAAAGAGCGACATCAGCAAGTTTGCCGATGACACCAAAATAGGCCGTCGAATTCATTCTGACAAGGACATTAGAGCACTCCAGGAACGATACACAAATAACCCGCACATAAAAGAGAGAAGCTTACGACGACGTTTCGGTCCGACTTGGACCATTGACAAAGTCAGTGTGACTGTCAATGGTCCAAGTCGGACCGAAACGTCGTCGTAAGCTTCTCTCTTTTATGTGCGGGTTATTTGTGTATCGTTCCAGTCACGGTATTGTGCCTTTTTTTGTTATTCACTCCAGGAAGATTTGAATAGACTGATGCAGTGGTCGGAGAAGTGGCAGATGCAGTTTAATATAGACAAATGCAAAGTTCTAAATGTTGGACAGGACAATAACCATGCCACATATAAACTAAATAATGTAGATCTTAATATTGCGGATTGCGAAAAAGATTTAGGAGTTCTGGTTAGCAGTAATGTGAAACCAAGACAACAATGCATAAGTGTTCGCAATAAAGCTAATAGAATCCTTGGCTTCGTATCAAGAAGCATAAATAATATTAGTCCTCAGGTTGTTCTTCAACTCTATACATCCTTGGTTAGGCCTCATTTAGATTATGCTGCACAGTTTTGGTCACCGTATTACAGAATGGATATAAATGCCCTGGAAAATGTATAAAGGAGGATGACAAAGTTGATCCCATGTATCAGAAACCTTCCCTATGAGGATAGACTAAGGGCCCTGAATCTGCACTCTCTAGAAAGGCATAGAATTAGAGGTGATATGATTGAGGTGTATAAATGGAAGACAGGAATAAATAAAGGGGATGTAAATAGTGTGCTGAAAATATCTAGCCTAGACAGGACTCGCAGCAATGGTTTTAAGTTGGAAAAATTCAGATTCAGGAAGGATATAGGAAAGTACTGGTTTGGTAATAGAGTTGTGGATGAGTGGAACAAACTCCCAAGTACAGTTATAGAGGCCAGAATGTTGTGTAGCTTTAAAAATAGGTTGGATAAATACATGAGTGGATGTGGGTGGGTGTGAGTTGGACCTGATAGATTGTGCTACCAGGTTGGTTGCCGTGTTCCTCCCTTAAGTCAATGTGACCTGACCTGACTGGGTTGGGTGCATTGGCTGGTAGGAGACTTGGACCTGCCTCGCATGGGCCAGTAGGCCTGCTGCAGTGTTCCTTCATTCTTATGTTCTTATATCAAGAAGCATGAATAATAGGAATCCTCAAGTTGGTCTTCAACTCGATATATCCTTGGTTAAGAACATAAGAAAGAAAGAACAGTGCAGCATGCCTACTGGCCCATGCGAGGCAGGTCCAAGTCTCCTACCGGCTTAAGCTAATGCTCCAACCTACTCTGTGGTTAGGTCTCATTTAGATTATGCTGCACAGTTTTGGTCACCGTATTACAGAATGGATATAAATGCTCTGGAAAACGTACAAAGGAGGATGACAAAGTTGATCGCATGTATCAGAAATCTTTCCTATGAGAATAGAGTGAGGGCCCTGAATCTGCATTCTCTTGAAAGGCATAGAATTAGGGGGGATATGATTAAGGTGAATAAATGGAAAACAGGAATAAATGAAAGGGATGTAAAGAGTGTGCTAAAAAAAAATATCTAGCCATGACAGGACGTGCAGCAATGGTTTTAAATTGGAAAAATGCAGATTCAGGAAGGATATAGGAAAGCACTGGTTTGGTAATAGTTGTGGATGAGTGGAACAAACTCCCAATTAGTTTTAAAAATAGGTTAGATAAATACACGAGTGGGTGTGGGTGAGAGTTGGAACCTGACTAGCTTGTGTTACTAGGTCACATGCCATGCTCCTTAAGTGAATATGACCTTACCTGACAAGGTTGGGGCATTGGCTTGGGCTGGTGAGGGACTTGGACTTTCCTCGCATGGGCCAGTAGGCCTGCTGCAGTGTTCCTTCTTTCGTATATTCTTATAAGTAAATAGGCAGAATAATAGTTTGAGGATACCATTGACCTTCAAGGTTTGGTTAGTCAGTTCTGAAACCAAGATAAGTGTTTAAGTGTGTGCCATAAGGCTAACAGATTACATGGGTTTTTATCGAAGTATAAGTAACAGGACTCCAGAAGTTGTTTTACAGCTCTGTTTATCAGTAGTAATGCCTCAATTAGATTATGCAGTTCAGTTTTGGTCACCATAATACAGACTTGGTATAATGTAGATGCATTTGGAAAACAGAGGATGTTAAAATTAATTCACTGTATAAGCCTTCATTGTCTTCAGGTATGTAGGATGTGGGGATATAAACATGGGAGACTGGCATAAACAAAGGAGATATAAAAAGTGCTGAGGATATTGAATCAGGAAGGAACTCTATTTATGGATTTAAATTAAATAAGTTTGATTTGGAAAGGAAATTATTAAATACCGGTTTGTGAACAGAGTTGTCGAGTGGAACAATCTGCCAAGTAGGGTCATAAAAGCTAAAACCTTCAAAGCTTTAAAAATCGGTTACAGATATAAGAGTGATTAGAACCTGTCTTATCACTAGGTATTGAAGCTAACTTTGCTAACATTGGGAATAGTTGGACAAATGTGAGTGAGAATAGATTGGATTTGAAAAGGATTGGCTAGTATTGGCCAGTAGACTTGCTGTGGTGTTCCTATACTGGCCTCAAGAATGCCAGTGTATATGAAGGTATAGGGCATAAGTAATGAAAAGATTCGCTAAAGACAATTAGGCTGATAAGTCAATTCAGAGAAACATTATTTGAATCAAAATAAAGTGTAGTGTTGATGCACTGTTGGAGGCAACAGTGCACACATTTTTGCTATAAGGTTGACTTCTTTGCTTACCTGCCTGGAGGTAAGTGGTTAGTTCCTCCCTCAGGTTAGGCTCAGACAAATTTGACCTTAAAGCAAAAGGTGCAGGGGGCCCAGCTACAGTCTGGCAGCTTCATATCGATAAGCACAAGTAATAGAAGTATGAAGGATATAATAGTGGTACAATATACTATTACAAACACTTAAGATGCAAATTATTTCTGGTTGTCAGTTTACATAAATTACCTAAATTTGCTCAATATAGTTGTAAAGTCATTGGGAAATTAGTTTTGATATCAGTATTGAATTCTAGGAATATTGGCTACTGCAGTGCTCTTTCAGGGTTTATTTACAAGAGTAGGGAAATGCTGATTATGAACATAAGAATTTTAGAGCAATCATATTTTAAACATTAATATGGCTTACTCTGGTTTTAGGTATCTCGCGTGATCACTGGCATAAACGGCGAGCCACCGGAGGCAAACGTGTCCAGCCTCGCAAGAAAAGGAAGTTTGAGTTAGGTCGGCCTGCCGCTAACACAAAGGTAGAATAATTTTGGCAGCTTGTTTTGGTATAACAGTTTAGTGTGGATGCTTGATTATCCAACCCAATCTTTTATTAGCAAGTTGTATGTATAATATTTATGCCCATTTCAGTAGTTGCCTGGGGATGCTTAGGAGCTACAGGATGATCTGGATAGGCTTAAGTGATCCTAGTAGTAACAGTTGAAGGCAGACTAACATAAGATTCTAATCCAAGGGGTGCAGTGGCTAAGTGGAACAAACTCACAAGTAGCTTCATTGAAACGAGAACCTTGGGTTCCTCTTAAAAATAGATTGAACCAGCACACGAGTAGGTGTGAACTGGACTTAACTAGCATGGGCCAGTAGGCCTGCTACGTTGTTCCTGCCTTAATATGTTTGTGTTCTTAAAACTATGGCACTTGTGCAGTTTAAGATATACAGTACTTAATTTATAAGGGTTTGTAATTAAGCTAATAAAATTCTTTGATTCCTATCGAGATACTGAATAAATGATAGTTAAGGATATGTTCCATCTTTATAATTTTGGTAAGGCCTCGTTTAGATTATGCTGCTCAGTTTGGTGTCTTATTAATGAACGTTAAGTACTTCTAGACCAGAATGGGAAAAGTAGTATTCCGACCTAGAAACGCCTTAACTAGCATTGGCCTCAGTAGGTCCTTACCGTTGATGACTCCTACCAACGTCTGTGTGAAAACTATCATTGCTGTTATTCAGTTAGCGTGACATTAGCATGGTTTTTGAATAACATCCCTAGCAATCTTGGGATCATCTGAGATAGAGAGCAAGAGAGAGGTCTGATGGTTGTTCCATACTTTTCGTTTAATTTAGTTACTACCCAGCCTGTGAGTGTTTTTACTCATCACGTTAATACTCAACCACATTGAAAAGCCTTAACTGCATTGAAAGAAAGAAACAGTAAGGAGTCCAATCAATCTGTGTGGGACACAATTATGGGAGGATGGGAGAGGAGGAACTGATTGTTTGGATGGGGTATCCCTCCATAAAGATTCAGGTACAGTGCTTACTGGGTGTCTTCCCTCTTTTGTTTTTTAATGACTAGGACCAGCTTGAGTACTGGACCCCTGTACGCAACAATAAAAGATCAGAGCTCTGTTTCAAGGGTCTAAGAGTTGCCATAAGAATGGGACAGGCATTGTATTGAACATGTTGCAAAACGGCTGCAACAGTCTGTTAGGGTGTACTTCCCACTTGTTTGGCCTCCACTCTCACTTTGCACAAAAAATTCCGAGCCTTTTTCCACTCTGAAGAGTTGCAAACAGCTTGCATTTGACTGTTCAAAACGGCTCACTCTCGTGGGTGATGTTCCTCCAAAGTTTCGCTCATCCACTGCCAATGCCTTAATCACTGAAGAAGGAACTTCCCCAACCACAGTCTCCTTAACAGTTTACGCTGTGAATGTGTGTTGAAAGGTCTTCACTCCTGGTTAGTCTATGTGGTCCAATTCCACTGCTGGCACTGTAAGTCTGGTTCCAAGGGCCAGATCACACTGGTGGGTTGTGGTGTGGGGGGAAGTGCCCTGGCTGGTGTGTGTGTGGGAAGTACCTGGTGGGTGTGTGTGGGGAAGTACCCTGGCTGGTGTGTGTGTGTGTGGGGAAGTACCCTGGCTGGTGTGTGTGGGGAAGTACCCTGGCTGTGTGGTGTGGGGAGTACCCTGGTGGTGTGTGTGTGGGGAAGTACCCTGGCTGGTGTGTGTGGGGGCAGTACCCTGGCTGGTGTGTGTGTGGGGCAGTACCCTGGTGGTGTGTGTGTGGGGCAGTACCCTGGCTGGTGTGTGTGTGGGGCAGTACCCTGGCTGGTGTGTGTGTGGGGCAGTACCCTGGCTGGTGTGTGTGTGGGGCAGTACCCTGGCTGGTGTGTGTGTGGGGAAGTACCCTGGCTGGTGTGTGTGGGGAAGTACCCTGGCTGGTGTGTGTGTGTGGGGAAGTACCCTGGCTGGTGTGTGTGGGGAAGTACCCTGGCTGGTGTGTGTGTGTGGGGAAGTACCCTGGCTGGTGTGTGTGTGTGGGGAAGTACCCTGGCGGTGTGTGTGTGTGGGGAAGTACCCTGGCTGGTGGTGTGTGTGGGGAAGTACCCTGGCTGGTGTGTGTGTGGGGAAGTACCCTGGCTGGTGTGTGTGTGGGGAAGTACCCTGGCTGGTGTGTGGGTAAGTACCCTGGCTGGTGTGTGTGTGTGGGGAAGTACCCTGGCTGGTGTGTGTGTGTTGTGGGGAAGTACCCTGGCTGGTGTGTGTGTGTGTGTGTGGTGTGGGGAAGTACCCTGGCTGGTGTGTGTGTGTGTGTGGGGAAGTACCCTGGCTGGTGTGTGTGTGTGTGTGTGGTGGTGTGTGTGGGGAAGTACCCTGGCTGGTGTGTGTGTGTGTGTGGAAGTACCCTGGCTGGTGTGTGTGTGGGGAAGTACCCTGGCTGGTGTGGTGTGTGTGTGTGGGGAAGTACCCTGGCTGGTGTGTGTGTGTGGGGGAAGTACCCTGGCTGGTGTGTGTGTGTGGGGAAGTACCCTGGCTGGTGTGTGTGTGTGGGGAAGTACCCTGGCTGGTGTGTTCTTTCTTGAATTCAATTGTTTCTCGCTTTCTTTATCAAAGGGCTGGCACTAGAAGCTTTCTTTGGGTCCATGGTGGCTTATTTAGCAGTCACACAATAAACAAGCGCAAAAAAAATGGATTATTACAAAATGTTTCATATGATCTCTCAGGGTAATGTTCACTCGCCGATAGTAACCTATCATGCCATGTAATTGGAATAGTAACCTATCATGCCTGTTGTGCCATTTTCCACTTGTCTGGTACCATACCAGATTTTAGTGCTATCTGTTGAAAAGACTAGCTAATGGTTTAAGTTCCTCTTAAGTTCCCATCATCAGAGCTTGGTGATTTGTTTGGCTTTTACTTTCTTTGTCCTAACCACTGAAATTCTTTTACCAGGTCGAGTATATTTTCCTAGTAATGCAAAAAAAATTACCAGCAGTACTTATAGGGATATAGAAGCATGAAGTTGAAGGTTAATGACCTGCTGACTGCAATATTGGCAACTGCTATGGGCTCCACTATTTTTAATTGTATTTTTTTTTTATACTTTTTCTGGGTGTTTTCAAATATTTTATATTTTCCAGTAACTTTTGTGGCCCATGAGACCCATATAATGCACAATGTACATATATCCGCATGTTGTGTGCAACACCATACCTGCATTAACCCCTTGACTGTCGCAACCCCCAATCCTGTGGTGTCGCAAAATTTAAAAAAAAAAAAAATTCTTATAAAATGATAGAGAATCTTTTCCCGATTGTATTGACACCAAAAAAACGAAATTTGATGGAAAACTGACAGAATTATGCTCTCGCGAAGTTAGCGACCTCGGCGATATTTACAAATCGGGGATTTCGCCCACTTTGAGCCCTATTTTCGGTTAATTCCATTGTTCCAGTCTACCAAACTCATAGCTATTTCTTTAGAACTCCATTTTTTCTATCGATTGAGTACAAGAAACTGCCCATTTACCAAATTAACTACCCAATAACGTGGTCAGAAATTTGCAATTTGGTAAATTTCACAAAAATTAAAAAATATGACAATTTCAAACTAAGGACCAGAATGAACAATGCAGACATTCCTGGCTCTAAAATAACATTTCTTTGTTCATCAGTCATGTCTCCAGGCCCTTGTGATATTACTCTTGCTTTCTATTTTGAATTTTTATTCAAACAAAAAATAGAAGATTTACTGTTATGCAGACTACTGCAATACTGTAATAATTGTTTAAATAACATCAACCCATTCATGACTGCATATTAGAATGGCTAGTTGGACATTTATTGGACAATGACATCATTTGTTTACTTTTGAACATCGGCAAATATCACACATTTCCCGTACTTTGAGCTCCATTTCCAGGATTCTTTTATAGTAAAATCAATCAAAATCGCCTCTATTTCTATAATATATTTTCCATTCTATCAAATGAGACCAAGAAAACGAGAATACAAGCATAAATACATGTACTATACAAAAATAGACCACAAAGTCGGCATTTTAATTAAAAACAGTTTTTTTTTTTTTTCTCATGCACTGTGTGCTCCAGGATCTTTTTTATATGGTGCACACTGACCACACAGACCCATTCTCTCACATATGGGCCTACCAGCTTTCTCCTGCTTGATTTGAAGCCGCTAGAATTTATGAGTATATATACGTCAAACATGATACCTCGTAAGACGTATATATACGGCCGCGACAGTCAAAGGGTTAATGGTGTTATCAGTACAGTTTACAAAATTTGTTTGCATAAAGTAAAAATGTTTTGTGTTATTACTGTTCTCATCAGTTCCATGTATTTTATTGTTAGAACTGTCACTTGGAAAAAGATGTTCAGTTTGCCTCATTGAGGGTTTTCAGACCACCAGGCATGGTGAACAGTGTGCTAAAGATGGCATTCCCAAAATGCATTGTGGGAGTGCTGATTTCTTGTATACTCTTCACACTGACCACAGATCCATTCTCTTATATTTAGGCCTACCAGGTCTCCATGCTAAATGTAAAACTGCTAGAATTTAATCATGGTTCTCCATTAGGGACTTTTGAGTTCAATGATGTATTTCTACATGACGGACAGAAAGGGCTAATCTATCTATTCGCCTGAAAACCATATCACGTGTAAATTTCATCTTGTATAACATATTTTCACCCTCTCCTATGTAACATTTTGATTCTAGTATTTCAGTAGTTTCCTACAAAAGAAACTGAGAGGAAATATTGCTAAGTGCAACAATTTCTTTCAATATGTCAGAGATAATTTATTTAGCATATTCTTCTCGTTAGTAATTTCTCAATACAGCCTCTCCTCACTTAACTACGGAGTTCCATTCCTAAAATCACGTTGTTAAACGAATTCGTCGCTAAGTGAGGAGCATGCTATAATGGTAGTGGGTTTTTGTCGACCATCTTTGATATTGTTTTAATGTCGCCTTTGCACCATTTATAACATTTCTGGTATATTTTTAAATGGTTATACAGTAGGATACTGTATATTAA